TATATACATAACATGTCCTACTCCTAATACATATAGGATTAGGGTTATTTACTCCTATTTACATAACTATTCTAACACTCCCCCTCAAGCTGGTGCATATAATCATATGTACCGAGCTTGTTACAAATGTAGTTAATACGAGGACCAGTGAGGGACTTGGTGAAAATATCTGCAAGCGATCATTCGATTTCACAAACTTGGTAGTAATATCTCCTGAAAGTATCTTTTCTCTCACAAAGTGACAGTCAATCTCAATGTGTTTAGTTCTCTCATGGAACACTGGATTTGATGCAATATGAAGAGCAGCTTGATTATCATACACAAGTCCCATCTGACTAATCTCACCAAATTTCAACTCCTTGAGCAAATGTGTGATCCAAATTAGCTAACATGTCGCCATAGCCATCGCTCGATATTCTGCTTCCGCACTAGACAGAGCAATCACATTCTGTTTCTTGCTCTTCCATGACACCAAATTTCCTCCTATTAAGACACAATATCCAGACGCAGAACGTCTATCAGAAGGTGATCCTGCCCAATCAGCATCTGAGTATCCAACGATCTGCTCATGGCCTCGATCCTCAAACAATAAACCTTTGCTTGGAGCTGATTTTATATACCGAAGAATGCGAACAACTGCATCCCAATGACTATCACACGGAGAATCCATAAACTGACTCACAACACTCACAGAAAAGGAAATGTCAGGTCTTGTCACTGTAAGGTAATTTAATTTACCAACCAACCGTCTATATCTTGCAGGATCGCAAAGAGACTCCCCCTGTCCTGGCAGAAGTTTAGAATTCGGATCCATCGGAGTGTCAACAGGTCTACAACCTGTCATTCCTGTCTCCTCAAGAATATCTAAGGCATACTTTCGTTGTGAGATCACAATACCTGAGCTAGACTGAGCGACCTCAATACCCAGAAAATACTTTAGTTTGCCCAGATCCTTAGTCTGAAAGTGTTGAAAGAGATGTTGCTTCAATTTAGTAATACCATCCTGGTCATTGCCGGTAATAATAATGTCGTCAACATAGACCACCAGATAAATACAGAGACTCGAAGCAGAATGCCGATAGAATACAGAGTGATCAGCTTCACTCCGAATCATGCCAAATTCCTGGATAACTGTGCTGAACTTACCAAACCAGGCTCGAGGAGACTGCTTTAGACCATAAAGTGACCGGCGCAAGCGACATACAAGGCCACGAGGCTCCCACTGAGCAACAAACCCAGGTGGTTGTTCCATATAAACTTCATCCTCAAGGTCACCGTGTAAAAAAGCATTCTTAATGTCCAGCTGATAGAGGGGCCAATAGCGAACAGCATCCATGGATAGAAAAAGGCGGACTTAGGCTATCTTAGCCACGGGAGAGAAGGTATTACTGTAATCGAGCCCAAATATCTGAGTATATCTCTTGGCAACAAGACGAGCCTTAAGACGATCAACCTTACCATCCGAACCAATCTTGACTGCATACACCCAACGACAACCAATAGTAGATTTACCTGAAGGAAGAAGGACGAGCTCCCAAGTACCACTAGTATGTAACGCAGACATCTCGTCAACCATAGCCTGTCGCCATCCTGGATGAGACAATGCTTCACCTGTAGACTTAGGGATGGAAACAGAGGACAAAGAAGATAGAAAAGCATAATAGGGTGATGACAAACGATGATAACTCAAACCGACATAATGGGGATTAGGATTAAGGGTGGTCCGTATACCTTTCCGAAGTGCAATCGGTGTACTAGGAAGAGACAAGTCCGCAGCAAGAGCAGGGTCAGGTGCAGGACGTGAATCAGCTGGGCCTGATGCTGGGTGCGGATGACGATGATATGTCAAAAGTGGTGTTCCTGTAGCAGGGAGTCTAGGAGGAGCCACACTAGACTCCTCAACAGTTGGAATGGGTAAGACTTCTGTAGCGGAAGGTGAATGAGGAGCTATAGTAGACTCGGGTAAGACTTCTGTGGCGGAAGGTGAAGGCGGAGCTATAGTAGACTCCTTTAAGGTCGGTATAGGTAAGATCTCAGAGATATCAAGGTGGTCAGAATGATCAGAAGAGGTAAAGAAAGGTTTAGACTCAAAAAATGTGATGTCAGAGGACATAAAGTACCTACGAAGATCAGGTGAGTAACAATGATATCCCTTCTGAACACGAGAATAACCAAGGAAGACACACTTGAGAGCACGAGGAGCTAACTTATCTTTCCCAGGGGCTAAGTTATGAACGAAACAAGTGCTCCCAAAAACACGAGGGGGAACAGAGTATAAGGGTGATTGGGGAAATAATACGGCATACGGTATCTGATTCTGGATGGGAGAGGAAGGCATCCGATTAACTAAATAACAAGCTGTGAGAACTGCATCGCCCCAAAAATACAACGGAACATGAGATTCAATGAGAAGTGTGCGAGCAGTCTCAATGATGTGCCTATTCTTTCTCTCTGCAACCCCATTTTGCTGAGGGGTATAAGGACAAGAGGTCTGATGAATAATTCCTTGAGAAGTCATAAACTGCTGAAATTGAGAGGATAAATATTCTAAGGCATTATCACTGCGAAAAGTGCGAATAGAAACACCAAATTGATTTTTAATTTCAGCACAAAAATTCTGGAATATAGAAAACAACTCAGAATTATCTTTCATTAAGAAAATCCAAGTACATCTTGAATGATCATCAATGAAACTAACAAAATAACGAAATCCCAAGGTTGAACTGACTCTACTAGGACCCCATATATCAGAATGAACTAAAGAAAAAACAGACTCTGCATGACTCTCAATACTACGAGGAAAGGAGGCTCGGGTATGTTTCCCGAGCTGACATGACTCACACTCTAATGTGGATAAACTAGACAAACTAGGCACCATCTTCTGAAGCTTGGATAAGCTTGGATGTCCTAAACGTCTGTGAATTAGGTCCGGAGGATCTGTAACTAGACATGCCTTGGAGGAGTTTAGTGAGTTAAGGTAGTAAAGGCCTTCTGATTCAAGTCCTGTTCCAATCGTCTGCCCCGTACTGCGGTCCTGCATAATAAAGGAATCATCAATAAAATATATACCACAATGGAGGGCACGAGTCAAACGACTAACAGATGCAAGATTAAAAGGACAGCCAGGGACATAGAGAACGGAATCTAGAGTGACAGAGGGTAGGGGATTCGCTTGTCCAATTCCTTTTGCTTTGGTTTGAGACCCATTGGCTAAAGTAACAGTGGGAGATCCTGTGAATACGCAATATTTGACAAAAGTGATTTATTACCAGAGATATGATCAGAAGCGGCTGAGTCCACAACCCATTGTCCAAGAGTACTAGACTGGGAAACACAAGCAAAAGAATTACCAGCAATAGAAGTATCAGTCTGAGCAACAGAGGCTACTTGTGGAGATGTCTGCTTACTTGCTTGATACTGAAGGAACTCATTATACTCCCCTTCAGATAAAGAAAATCCCTGGTTACCTGTAGTCTCAGTCTGAGCAACATAAGCATTTTTGGGTGGGCGGCCATGTAAAGAATAGCACACGTCACGAGTGTGTCCAAGTTTATGACAATAAGAGCACTTGGGTCTAGATCTTCCAAAACGACCTCCTCCTCGTCTATTCTCCATAGTATGAGATGCCCGATTGTCCACTGACTGGGATACGAGGACAGATGAGTCAAGTGTCTGTGATGAGCTCACTGGGTGACTTGGTGCTGCAGCAAGGCGAAGTAATCGAGAGAATAATTCATCAACTGTGGGGACAGTCGGACTAGCCAAAATCTGGTCACGTACTGAATCAAGGTCATTAGGGAGTCCAGCGAGTGTAAGAACTAGAAACATCTTCTGTCGTTGCTCTTGTTGCTTTTCATACTAGCAGAAACTAGCATCAACTTCTCAAATTCTTCCATGACTGCCTGTACTTGTCCCAAGTAAGTAGACATATCCAATTCCTGTTTCTTCAAGCTTGTCATTCGCGATATTACATCATAGAAACGAGATATGTCATTAGTGTATAAATTACGAGCCTTTTCCCAAACTAAATAACATGTCTGGAATGGACGGAACAAGGGCATCAACTTGGAATCAATAGATCGCCACAGGATACTACATAATTGAGCATCTACCTTCTCCCACAGTGCTTTGGCCTTTTCATCACCTTCGCTAGCCTTTTTTGTTAAATGATCTTGAACTCCTTGACCTTTACACCACAACTCGACATACGAAGCCCAAGCTAAGTAGTTTGAACCTCCCATTAAAGGTTCTGAGGTAATCATAACACCGGAATTGCTAGAACCCGGGTTTTTAGACCCGAAAGCATCGACTCCCAAAGACATGGTTGGATTATCACCAAATAACAAAAAGAATCAACTGACAATTCGCTGAAATAGATGAAAGAAACACTGTGTTTGCCGGAAAAATACTGTAGCTGCCGAAAAAAATCAGTGTAGTCGCCGGAAAAAACCCAAAGTGGTCGGAATTGAAAAATAAAATTATGGGTAGGAGGAATTTGAGGGCGATCCAACTGTCCTGAAGGAACTTCGTCAAAAAATAATCGGAAAGTGGTGCACGCACCGGCGCGTGGGCTCACGCGCGTGGGCTTCTGGTGGCGCGTGGAGTACTGTTTGCCGGAGATTTTTTTGTGGGGTTTGGTCGCCGGACAGTGGCGACTCTTGTGGTAGTGTTGGATTTTGCACAACACTGACAGAGACAAAGCAGACGCAAAACAGGCTTGAAAAACTCGCCGGAAAAAGGGTTCCGGTGACTGATTTCTCTTCCCGGAATCGCTGGAATTTATGCACAGCGATAAATCTCTCACAATTGCTCTGATACCATGTGAGAATGCACGGCAGAAAATATTATTATTGATATTATTAACATATACAATGAGCCCTATATATACATAACATGTCCCACTCCTAATACATATAGGATAAGGGTTATTTACTCCTATTTACATAACTATTCTAACAATAGTAAATAATATTTTGGTATTGATATATTTTTTCTTGCAGGTATGGTAGCAAAATATTTCAAATGCAAAAGTCTCAATATTAGCAGGCACAAATTTGTACTTATGTACCAAAATAAGGAGCATTTTATTAACAAGAAGACATAAATTTTATATTAACATGAAGAGTATTTTGTGGGCACAATTTGTATTTCATATTGATATCGATGAATAAATTCCAAAGGCTCAGTTTTAAAGTTTTGGAACCATAAGATGAATTTAGAAAGATATAAACGATGATAATAAAAATAAAAATAAAAACTAGAAGAAGACAAATATATACAAAATGTATATGGAGTATTACATTTGAATAGAATGTCGTTTTTCTTTGCTTGAATATAAATTTGTTGTGGCCTTTGTTGGACTATGTTGATCAACAGTTGGTGGTGAGAAATTCTGTTGGAGTCGTGATGACCAAAGTTGGTAATTAAGGAGGGAAATTGGCATCAACTTTTTTTCTTTCCCTCCATTTCTCTTGTACTATCTATTTAGTTTTCTATCAACAACAAATTTACCTTTTTTTTCTTTATTTATTTGAATTAATCCAATAGCAAATGGACCCCACAAATATACTTGTCAAAAGTAGAGAATGGCCTCATACAACTATTGTTGGGTGAGTCTCACCTAAAATAAAATTTCTCCCAAGAACACCCCATCAAAATGGTGTAGTGGAGAGGAAAAACAGGACTCTTGAAGATATGGCAAGGATGATGTTAATTGACAGTGGTGTACCAAAGAGTTTTTGGGCTGGGGCAATGAACACTGCCTACTATCTGATAAACAGGTGCATGATCAGGTCCCTCCTAAACAAGACCCCGTATGAATTACTAAACGAAAGAAAACCAAAGCTGACTTACCTGAGAACATTTTGTTGCAAATGTTTTGTTCTCAACAATGGTAAGGAAGCGCTGGGAAAATTTGATGCCAAGAATGATGAAGGGATTTTTCTTAGATATTCTTCGCAAAGCAAGGCATACAAAGTCTACAATAAAAGAACTCAATGTATATAAGAAAGCGTACATGTAATATTTGATGAATTACACCACTCAAGTAGGAAATATTCACATGATAAGAATGATCAAGATGGAGAACATTCAAAGGTTCATGAAGAAGTCATTGATATAGCAAACGGGAAGGCAGATCTGATGAGTCAGGTCAAGGAGTCTAGTGAAGAAGATGCAGCAGAACCTCCAGCCGATTCAGAAGAACCTGGTCTCTCCATTACAGTAACTAAACAGAAAATAGAGTTGTTGATGCTATGCAAGGCACCCCTGATGTTGAGCACAGAAGTGGCACTCACACTTCCGTGGATGCTAATGATGGATCTCACACGGCGGAACCTGGTTCTTCTCACCATGAGACTCGGGTATCTAACTGGAAGCATAAAAGCTCATATCCTCTCTAGAATGTAATCACTCCTCTGGATTCAGGAATTCGGACTAGATCAAAGACAAGAAGTATGTTTGTTTTCTCAGCTTTTCTGTCTCAAATTGAACCCAAAAATATCAAGGAAGCATTAAAAGATGCTGACTGCATTTTTGTTATGCAAGAAGAACTCCATCAATTTGAGAGGAACAGTGTGTGGCACCTGGTTCCCAGACCTTCATATAGAACAGTTATTGGATCCAGGTGGGTGTTAGCTAACAAGCTTGATGAGTTTGAAAATACAATAAGAAACAAGGCCAGGTTGGTAGTTCAAGGCTATAATCAAGAGGAAGAAATTGATTATGATGAAACATTTACTCCAATTGAAAGGATGGAAGCCATCAGAACTCTCATTGCTTTTGCATCTCATATGGAATTCAAAATGTTTCAAATGGATGTCAAGAGTGCATTTCTGAATGTATTATTGATGGAAGACGTTCCATTGCATCAAGAGCAGACTTGTTTCTCATAGAGGCATTGGATGGATACACTACTATCAACCTGCCTGGAATCATGATTGAACATATGAAAAAGGTGGCATACTTCAAGGATGGGAACCATGGATTTCCATATGGGTTCCTGCTCACCATAGTTTTTGGATATTTCAAAGTCCCCTTGGGGAGAGCAGTTGTGAGAACTCGTAAGCAAACGTTCTCAATGACTACCTTGGAGGAATGCAAGTGTATTGACAGAAGGAGGAAGTTGGCAGCAATTCTACGGTTTCTCATCTGATTGATGCTTAGACTGCTGCTAATAAGGAGATAAGGAGGCTGAAGGATAGGAATTCCATTCTTGAGGGACATCTCAAACAAGCCAGAGAGGAACCTGGTTCTAACAGTTCTCAGGGTGCAGAGGTTGCCCTCTTGAAGGCTGAAAATGCAGACCTGAGGAAACAGGTTGAGAACCTGAAAGAGCAGCTGATCAATGAGCACCAGTCTTCAAATGCTTGAGTGGATGTTCTTCTCAAAGCCCTTGCCCCTTCATCCTTCCCTCCCTCATCCAGTGCCCCGTAAATTGTCCCCTTGTCAATGTCCAATTTATCAGTGCATGTCTTGGTCCCAATGTCTTGTTTTGGTATTTTGTTCCTATGACTGTGGTTCTTTAGTTTATTTATTTTGTGGATGTTTTGTAACAATGGTACTACTACTGCCTATGTTTTCTTCTCTTTTTAACTAATGAGCATCTCAGTCCTTCTATATGCATGTTATACTCTTATGTTATATTTTTAGCTATGTCGTATGCATACAAGTGGCATGTGTTAACATTGCTAGACTTCTTTTTGCGTTTACTTGGGGGGGGGGGGGGAATATTACGATGCCAAAAAGGGGAAGAAAAATTGAAGGGGAGAAACAGGTTCTCGGGGGGAATATGGCTAATCTGCAGGGGGAATCATATGGAGATCTGGTTCTCGAGAGGGACTTCAATTCTAAGTTTGTCATCATCAAAAAGGGAGAAATTGATAAGTTATGTACCTTTGTATTTTGATAATTTAACAAACTTCATATGAGAACCAGATAGGGAACCTAGTACAAAGCCTCTTTGTGCTCAGAACAACAAGTCACAAGTCTAGCACAAGTTCTAATGATATCATTCAAGGGAACGACAGTGGGAACAGATGGCTATTCGTTCATCCGATCACAGTACAAGTCAACTCTTTACAGTTGTTAAGGTTGATGCACTGCATACGCAACAGTGCAATAGTCACTGTTGAAGCATGTTGTATCAGATACTTGCTTGCATCATCCTAGTGACCTCACTTATATATTATCAACATGACGCAATGAATTACAGACACTTGCAAACCCTAAAGCATAATTTACTCTCAAGTGTGCAGCCGTCTTATTTACTCCAAGGCTTGAAGAACAAAGCAGCAACAGAACAAATGACCAAATCCCAGCATTGAGTACATCGAGTGTCCTTAGTATTGTCATGTCTTTGTTAATGTTATTCACTTATAATTCCTACTCAGCTTAGTTAGAAGCATCTCGCGGGATATCTTTGTAAACCATAAACCTCATATTTGTGTAAGTTAGTCAAAGTGGTGAGCTTTGTAATAGAGTTATTACAAAGAGGCTTGCAATAGAGTTATTATAAGTAGGTGAGGGATTAAGAATTTAATTCCTAGGTTACAATAGGTTGTAATCCAAAGTTGCTCGGTTAGTAAAGTTGAAATCCTACGAGTGTAGGTCGTGGTTTTTAATAACGTGGGCTGGGAGTTTTTCATGTAAAATACTGTTGTGTTATTTACTTACTGTTGTGTATGTGTCTTCTGTAGGAACTGATAGAGAACTAGATTCTCTATACAGTTTGGTGGACTCTTAGTTCACATCAAGATCTTGTTCTTACATCGAGGAGGTAAAGAAGCTATTTTCGATAGACTTTCAACTAAAGAAAGCATCTCTTAGCATGTTTGAAAAAGAATATAGTAGCGAACAATTCATGTTAAAAATAATAAAGACAAGCATTATGAAAGTAGAAAAACAACAACACAACAAGAAAAGCAAAGAAACGGAGACAACAGGTAGTAATGGAAATAAATAAAAATAAGATAATATAGGAATGATAATAACAATAATAATTATATGGGAAAATACGGGACAAATATGGTGTCCCAAGCTCGATTACCTACTATTCTTCTACCCCAATTTCCGCCCTTCCTATCCACCTATCTAGGCCATGTCCTCCGTAAGCCGAACACATGCCATGTTCTGTCTAATCACTTCTCTCTAATACTTCTTCGGTCTACCTTTACCTTCTTTGGACCTCCAATTATCAACCTCTCCCGCCTCCTTACTAGGGCATCTGTGCATCTCCTCTTCACATGTTCGAACCATCTCAGCCTCGATTTTCTCATCTTGTCAACTACGGAAGTCACTCCCACCTTGTCCTGAATCTATACGTTCCTAATTATATTTCTCCTAGTATACTCACACATCTCTCTCATGCTACATACGATTGTGTTTTTGTTTTCTCCATAACAATAACAAACTCAGTGCAATCTCACAAGTGAGATCTGAGAGGATAGTGCGTACGCATACCTTACCCCTACCTTTGTAGAGGTAAAAAAATTATTTCTAATAGACCGACGACTCAGGAAAAGCGTAGTCACATCATAATTGAAAGGATATACAATAATCTATTGTTTTCTTCACATAACTAATAAATAGAGAGAAAAACACAACTAGATCTAAACAAGAAGGCTATTTTTCAATTGTAGCTTGTTAGTAGTCTATTTGTCCATGTTTCTAGGAGCCCAAAAAAAAAATCAATTTTCCTGTTGGAAAAATTATCCTTAGCAAAATATACCAAAATAATCCCACTTAATTTAATCTAATATTTAGGTTATTTTAATGGCAATTCTCCTCTCCGTGATTTTATTAGGGTAAATTATTTTATATTTGTTGAATGATATATATATATACACACACATCATCTTGAAAGAATAAAGTACTTCTCGTGTATTTTTATATTTAATTTAAATAAAAATAAATAACTTAATTATATAATCTTTTATAAAATTATTTATCTACATAAATAATATTAACTGCTAAGTAAATTTTTCCATATTCTTCTTCGTAATTTGATATTCCAAAAGTCATTTTGAAAATCTTGGCCAAACATAATATGCTGTTCAAAATCGCTTGTTAAATTGATTAGCCAAATACCAATTACTTCTCTCAATAAATATATTTTCAAAAAGCATGTATTAAAACACATAACTTTAAGAAACTTTACCATATAAATCATCAACTTGTGAAGACGGGACATGTCAATTTTATTTGTCTAGCACAATACCTGAACACTGTAAAAACGCAAATTGCATTATATAATATAGAACCTTTCAAAGGAAAGAAGCGTCTGAAATAATTATTTTCCAATTGATAAGAAGAATCTACGTACAACCTACCAAAAGCTGAGTCACGAATTATCACAAAATCTTATTGATTCTTACTGAGGATTCCTTGGTAAAGGGGACCATCTTAATTAATACGAGTATATACCATGGCAAGGGGGGTTATAATAAAGCACATGTATTACGGATTAACTATATAACTAATTACTCTATACGTAAATACAGAACTGCCAAACGATGAATAATTAGAATGCCACTTGCAGGTCTCCTCACGTGTTAACTTTACCTCGACACATTCTATTTCCCCCCCC